TTCTAAACTTTACAATCTTCATTTAAAAATTTGAAATAATATTATTTTTTACTTCATTATTCCTTGTTTATATTGATTTTTATTTTTTTCTATGAATTTTGTATCCCTAACTTTCTCTAATTCTCCCTAAATACATGAACAAAGTAAATTTTTCATCGTCAAATTTTAGTACATGTTTCATAATATTCATATAAATACTTATATATTTTGATTTTTATTCTTTTTATGTTTATATTTGTAATATATATTTTTCTTTTTTTTAACAACAGGTTACTACGAATAGCGAACTAGTATTCGCAACAACAATTTGGGATTGCAAATAGTAGAACCTTGTTGTTGTTCGTAGTCCCAAATTGCTATTGCAAATAATAGTTCTTTGCGTGATGCCTAGCAATATATGAAGTATAATTTTTTTTATATATTATTAATATTATATTTTTTTTATTTTATGAAACTTGTAAATATATTTTTAAATATTTTATTTGATCAATTATTTTATTATAAATTTTATTGATCAATATATGGACTAAATTTTATTGCACTTTTGGTCCTATGACTATAGGGTGCGTGTTAATTTTGATACGTGACTTTTAAAATTAACAATTTAGTCCTTTAACTATGCTTTTTTTAGCAGATTTGGTCCTCCCGGCCAAATCACCGACCAAATGTTGCCGGAAAAACGTAAAGCATTTTTAATTATTTATTCATAGGGGTAAATTGGTCATTTCAAGTCTCTTCTTCTTCCTTCACCTGCTGGCTGGAGTATGTCGCATTTGCAGAGTTATTCTTCCGCCTTGCCTTCCCTTTCCTTGCCCTCTCCGCTGCTCTCGATCTGTAGGCGTCCATTATATTTCTACTCTCAGAAGTCAAAACCATCAAAAGAGTATTCATCTTTTGATCAGTTTCCAGTTGCCGGAGTGAAATGCCCCATTTGTTCTGCAAAAATAATCATGCATTCTCTACAATTTCTGATCCTAATCTCTCTTCTCTCAGACTCAACTTCCTCTGTCAGGAACTGTTGCTAGAACACATCGTTCCCTCCGATGACGGGCATGAAAATGAAGAAGCAGATTAACAAGAAAATAGTGATTGATTATCGATTAGTTGCGATTGACGATTATGAATCGTAAGAAATGAAGAAAATGAACACGGCAAATATGCAGGCCATATATTAATATATAATGTAGCTATATAGCTATCCATAAAACTAGTAATACTTGATATTCATTTAGAAGTAATGGATAATTTCATATCAAATCCCATATATCAGTAGGCTTTTTTCCAGATTACAAGCAGAGGCGAGATCACATGGCGTTTCCCGTCAGACCATATGAGCTTTCCCAACTCAGTGACAGACTTCCCTAGCATCACCGCCAATACCTCCGTCGTAATCTCAACAACGTACTCCTGTTTCTGACCCTTTGCCGTGAAATCAAGTTGAGTCGGAGTTATCTTCACCATTGCACCATTTGGGTTCGTCACCGCCACATTGTACGTTGGTGCGCCCTCACCAACATAGCTCACCGTCCTCGTAGCCCTAACCACCATCGATGTCGGCGAGGAAGCATCGATCACTACTGAAATCGCCGGATAGTTGAGATCGCAGGACGGTTTCCAGTGTTCCCGGGGACATCTAACCGCCTTCTGAGCAATTTGCCGCAAATCTTGGGCAGTATAATTGGAGGAGCAGAGAAAGTTGAGGTAATTGTTGGGGGTAATATCGTAAACTAGTCTCTCTGTTTCTCTCTATTCACGAAAGTAACAACAACAATGGCAGCCACAATACCACCCATCCTCAACCTTCTTCTTCCTTGCCAACAACAAACAAGTTTAACCCACCAACAACCCCCATCTCCTCCTCTCTTCCCGTCTCTCTCTCTCTCTCTCTCTCTCTCTCTCTCTCTCTCTCTCTCTCTCTCTCTCCCTCTTCTAAATGGCAAATCGACAGTAGCACAGCTCACCAACAGCTGCAACTCTCCACCAGCGGCATCCTCTAGTTTTCCGGCGAAGCGGCGACAGGGTGCGGTAGTGGCAACGAGAGAAGTCCCTCTAGCAGTGACGAGCTCTACTTCCCCTCTCTTTCTCTTTTTCTCGTCGACGGCGGCAACGACGGTCTTCCTCAACGAGCTCCGGCGACCTTTGGTCCTTTCCAGCGTGTAGCAGACATGGGGCGCTCCAGATCCAGCAATGGCGACCTTTGTTTCCGGCAGTGGCATGCTAGTTCAATTTTTAAGGCTAAAATCACCCCAAAGCTCCCGTCGCCGCCGCTGTTGATTGCCCAGAACAGATCCTCTCCCATGGAGTTCACAGTCAGCTTCAACGTGCGAAAAATCCCAGATCAGAACAGATCTGAGCCTTCGTCGCCGCCGCCGCCACCACTCTCGTCCGCTCGCCTGCCTCCTCCATCTAGAAACCTTGGCCACAATCAAAACCCTAGCTTGTTAATTTTCTTTGCGATAGCTGTGAAGTCTCAGATCGATGTGAATTTGGGGAAGAAAATTGGATTGAGTTTGGGGAAGAAACGAACAAGAAGGGTTTGTTTGGGGAAGAAATCTAATCGGAAGTTAAACCCCTACCAAAACAAAGGAAATTGAAGGGTGAGTTCGTTGAGATCTCCAATTCTACGATGGATTTTTTTTTTTTCGTTTGGTCAGTAGTCAGTAATCAGTAAGAGGGAAGGAAGAAGGAAGGAGGAAGGTGGACGGAAGAAGGAGGAAGGAGGTCTAAAAAGACGAAATTACCCCTATTTAACAGGCCATCTAATGGGAATATTGACAGAGGACCAAAATTGTCCTCGTCACAATAAGAGTGTCCACAAATTGTCTAATTTTTTTAAAGAGGACTAAAATTGTCCGTGCTACTATAAGTCTAGGACCAAAAATGTCTTTTACTCTATATATAAGTAATTAGCATATAAGTCTCAGCATACTATGGATAAAAATAATAATGTTGAGAATGTTGATGTGGGTGAAGAACTATATAATAAGAAGAATTTTATGATATATTATAAATGTTTTGTAAGAAAATTATAAATGATCGATAAGAATCAAAATCATTGAAAGTTTGTAAGGATGTATTCAATTTAGAATTTCAATGATTTTTGTAGACTTTTTAAAATAAAAAGTTGTTAAAAGTCTATGAATGTTTTTTATATAGGCTTTTATAGAGTCTTATAATGTTTAAAAAGTTTTGAACAACTCTATGAAAGTCAATCAAAGTTTATTAAAATCTATCATTTTAAAAGTCTTTTAAAACTCTACAAAAGTCATGATTGAATACATCCCCCTAAGATCTCAGTCATATACCAGCAATGCATATCTAAAACTTCATACATCATAATCTCATTGCATAAACGTTGTTCTCTATGCTACCACCAGTAACTCAATTGCACATGACACACTACCAATAAAAAAGAAGAGGACAAGTATACTGAAAATGAAGATAATGACAATACTACCCAAAAGAGAATTAAGAAGACTTAGAAAAATTTAAACCAAAAGTAGTATTTATTTAGACTATCGTTTTTAGACCAGGTATTTATACTAGCGTTATTACAAATTTGCAAACATTTATTTTATTGACAATTATAATCAATCTCTCATTAGTCTCATATATTATCTTGCATCTATATCACAATTACCTATGCATGAACATCTCCTATATATATAATCTTGCATTGATATACTTTGATGTACTTATTTACAAATAATCATTGGACATTATCTCATTCGCGCAATGCATGTGAAAAATTAGTCAAAATAATATGAACCATTCATTTTATCAAAAAATTAAACCAAATATTTTTTTAGTTCTTTTTATAGGCCTAACTTTATTGGCTATTACTAGATTTAGTAGATTTAGTAGATTATTCAATTTTTATGTTGATCATATTTAGTCATTTGACTTTAATGTCATTTAAATTCAGTATAAATAATAAAGGGACCTAATAATTTTAAAATTTTGAGTTTAATTTCATTAATTATATATTAAACTGTTATTTTTCTCCCAAATATTATTTATTGAATCAGTGAGCTAAGTTCGTGCGGACATAAATAACAATGTTATTCTAACAAGAGTGCAAAGAGCTAGAGGTATCAAGATAAGTCATAATGTATTTACAATGAGATGAAAATTTCACCGGTTAGATTCCTCACTCAAACCTGCCTACACAGGTTGGCAGACCTCGTGGACTAATTTTAAAAATATTTTGGACTAGCATCAATAAAATAGATGCATTTCACATGTTTATATATGGTTTTTAAAAATAAAAATTCTGAAACTTAAAAATTCAAAACACATGATAATATGATTAATATCCACATTTAAATTTTTGATAATCAATAAACTATTTCTTTATTATCGATATTTAAATTGTTACAGTATTTATGAAATGTTTGAATGTGTCGGAGAAAAAAAAGTAGATGGATTGTTTCTTGAGACTAGTTCAGTTGTTTCGTTTGATCACCTTCAAATATTACTCCAACTAAAATATGAAAGTTTGAATCCTACTAAAAATATAAGAGGTCAATGATTGAATAGAAGAGAGATAAAAAAAATTTTCTATTTGCACCACCCTAATTGCTATTTACACCACCCTTTGATAGGTGTAATAACTTTATAGATGGTGTAAATCGAAAAATGTTATTTGCACCACCTTCATTAAATGTAGTCAAACATTATATTTTTTAAAAAATATTTATTAATTATTTTTATTTAAAAATAAAAACATTATTAAAAAAAAAAATCCACCACCTCGCCTTCTGTTGCGGAGCATCAAAGAAACAGAGATAAAAGGGTTGAAGAGGGATATTTGTCATTAGCTTTCAGAGGAGGAAACAGAAGGTTTATATACAAATATACAGAAGCTGCTTACAGAGAAGAAAGAAATAACATAAATAACCGGCAAGCAAGAGGAAATTATGCCAAGTGTCATCATCTTATGTTCCTATACTCTTAACCCCCCCCCCCCCCCCCCCCGCCCCCCCTCACCTCAAACTGGATTATACAGGTCTAATAATCCAAGCGGAACTAAGGAAAGAACCAGGACAATGAGTCTTAGTAAAAATGTCTGCTAGCTGGTTTGTGGAGGAGATGTAGAACAACTTGATAAGGTCATTGTTGAGCTTTTCTCTTACTAGGTGGCAATCAAGTTCTATATGCTTGGTGCATTCATAAAATACTGAATTTTCTGCAATAGCAATAGCAGATTTGCTATCACAATATACAACCACTGGTCCAGTTTGATTCACTCCAAGTTCTGCTAACAGGAAGCATAGCCATTGAACTTCAAAAGTTGTAGCTGCTAGAGCTCTATATTCTGCTTCTGAAGATGACTTGGAGACAGTAGCTTGCTTCTTGGACTTCCAAGAGATCAAGGCATTCCCCATGAAGGTGCAAAACCCAGTGACAGACTTCCTAGTATCAATGCAAGCTCCCCAATTAGAATCAGAAAAAAATTTTAGTTGCAAATCAGAAGAGGATGGAAAGAATAACCCCTGGCCAGGAGCAGCCTTTATGTACCTCAACACTCTATGGGCAGCTTGTAGGTGTAGATGAGTAGGTTTATCAAGGAATTGAGACAATTCTTGTGTAGCAAAGCTGATGTCTGGTCTGGTAATAGTTAGATATAGAAGTTTTCCAATGATCCTTTTGTACTGAGTGTTATCCCCAAGGGGCTCACCTTCATCCCTGCTTAGCTTATGAGATGGAACTGTATGACTATGAACAAGCCTTGAATCTATAAAACCTGTATCACTGAGTAATTCAATAGCATATTTTCTTTGGCAAATAGCAATGCCTTTTTGTTGTCTGGCCACTTTTCCAAACCAAGGAAGTACTTCAAGGGTCCTAGATCCTTTATTTGAAAATTTGTATTAAGCTGATCCTTCACCTTTTATATGATTTTCAAATCACTACTAGCAACAACTATGTCATCCACATATACAAGTAGAGCAACAAATGAACTGCCCTCACCTTGTCTTGTGTTGTTGTTTGAGGTGTCTAGGTGGTGAATGGAGTGGTGAATGAGTAGAGTGGAGGCTGAAATCTACACAAGGAATGAGAACAAGAAGAAAAGGCAACAGAGGTATAACCCCATGGATTCCCAATCTTTTTTAGCTCTGTGAAGCCTCTGCTATATAGTTTGAAATGAGTAAAAATGCTAGAATATTGTGTGTTTGAGCTATTAGATGACTTGTCGATGTTGTATGATGTGTTGTTGATGATCTGGAGGTGGAATTTTGTCTGGAAATGCAATGCAGGTGAAGAAGTAGCCACTGATGCACCACTCAATGTGCACCAGTGAGAGTCACGGGCCTAGCCAACGACCCACGAGGGGAGCCACTGGCTAGAGCCGTGACGGGACGGACCTAGGGCACGGCCCTAGGCCGCCGCCGGACGGTTCCAGGCGGCAGGGCTTCCCTAGTCTCGCCGCTAGGTCCGTTGATGGTTACTTGTGCAGTGGTCGGACCCTTGTGGCTCAGCTACATGTCGTTTCGGACCGGGTGTCACGGGCCATTGTGGCTCGGTACCTTGGGGCCGTTATGACGCACATTTGGGCTTTGATTTCGTTGAATTTGGATTAGAAATGAGCATGTTATGATAGAAATTGTGTTGGAATTGTTTACAGTAATATGCAAATGAGTTGTATCAGACTTAGACTCCCTATTTGAACTTCCTGGTGCTATTTGAGTGTTAAATAGAGAAGCATGATCATTAAGTAATTAAGTTTTGTTAATGACTCAAGTGTGTATTATGTTTCTTGGAAATTATAGTCTATTTATAATTGTGGAAGTATACAGAGTATGTTGTTTTGGAATTCAAGCATGATATTGTGCTTTTTAGAGTTCACAGTAGCATATGAAATAAAAGCATGTTGTACAGTAAATTACATACCAAGCATTTCATGTTTTAAAAGTGCATAAATGGCCAGCGTGAGCCTAGTATTATTTTCCAAAACTCATGAGAATGTGAAATGTCATTTCCTTATTGCATTGAGTGTTTGTTGAGAAGTGACATGCATAAGTTTTCAAAAGTAGAAGAGTTGCCTCATATATATATATATATATATATATATATATATATATATATATATATATATATATATATATATCCTAGGGAAGCATTCACATACAAACCCCTTTAAAATACAAACTTGAGGACAAAATATAGCCCTAGGATGTGTTTAGATGGATGGATAAGATGCAATGAGACTAATTAATTGAAGATTCTGAATTAGTGAATACAAGGGCAATAATGGGAAACCGTATACAACGTAATTAAGGAAAAGATATATGATCGGGATATTAAGCAAGAAATTAGGAGAGTAAGTATAGTACTAATAGAATACCATTAGCAACGCACTTTCAGTGTTCAAAAGTTCCCGGTCGTGCAATCATTCGTTCGAAAGTTCTCCGGTCGTGCAATTATCCGCAGCAATCACAGACACCATGGACGAGACACACCCAAGAAATTGCGACCAAAACCCAGACTCCATTGATGGTGAAAACCCATGTACGTAAGTATTGTAAGTTTTTAATTTTGTTGAATTGTACGTAACCAATATTGCCGCATCCCCTTTTTGTGATTTGTATGTTCATAACTGTTTTTCGGGGGCAAACGGAATGCGTATTACTAGTAGTCGAGTATTGGGAATCGGGTTAATACAAATCCGCATAAACCAGAACAGTAGGAGAAAGTTTAGAATAGCTTGTGCACACAGATTGCGGCGTCTGTGCACCCAGCAATGTATATGTACATTCAAGTAACAACAATTAGTTGTTTAAAAATCTGGTAATGGACCTCTGCCATTCATCATTTGACACCAAACTGTGCTAAGGCTATGCAAGTTAGATGCAATTAACGCTGAATGTGCCAAGGCTAAGGAAGTTTGATTTAGACTTAATTACGCTTCATGCAATTTAGATTTCATTAACGCTACATGCACCTCAGTAGCACCACCTGTGCACACACATTAGGGTGAATGTACACACACTCTTGCCGACCTGTCACGTGGGGATATTTGGAAGGGAATGTGTGCATTGTTTTCATTTGTTTCTGATTACATTTTCCGTAATACTATCTAAACCACCCGTGACTTACGGAACAAATATCGTTAACGCAATAACCCTTTTGTTTGTATAGCTAAAGACCATAACGTAGAAGGACTAACAGAGTGTGACATGGTCGTATTACCAAAGGGAACAAAACGGTGGTTCCCTATTTGTCAAGATGAAAGCACACCCTATGTCGGCCAACAATTTGAAACAGTAGAAGAAGGAATAGAATTCTACCATGCATACGCAACCATTGCCGGGTTTGATATCAGACACACCACGGTGAGAAGGAACAGGGAAGGGAAAGTGACAATAAAACACATTGTATGTTCCCGCGAAGGATTCAATCCCAACACAAAGGATATAACCGCAAGCACCGACATGGGAAGCAGCACAAGAGTTAAAAAAAAAAAAAAAAAAAAAAACGACGGGTGTCTAACAGAGTTGGATGTAAAGCCAAGATCGTGATAACCAAGGGCAAAACCAAAGGTTACCAAGTCCATGCCAAAGAGCTACAACACACGCACTGCCTATGTTCAGACATCGCAAGACCATTCCTGAAAATAAATAGAAAGCTCGACATTGGACACAAAATCTTCATAGCAAACTGCGCTAGGGAAAATATTGGTTCAACAATGTCTTGGAGGTTATACAAAGAAATGGTGGGCAGTTTTACCGATATAGGGGCAACATGCATGATTTCTGCAATTTTAGACGTGACTTGCTAGCATATCGTGGGGGCGGATGCATAGATGGTCGTAGAAGACATGTTCAAAAACAAGGAGACGAACCCAGATTTCTATTTTGATTTTGACCTTAATGAAGAGAGGCAACTATGCAAGCTGTTTTGGACTGATGCGGTATCTCGGAAGAATTTTGCATGCTTCGGGGATGTGATGTCATTCGACGCAACATACAGAACAAACAGGTACACATTACACACATTTAACATGTTGACTTTCAGTAAGTTACTAAAATAGTTGAGTTCATGCACATAAAAATGTTTAAAATCACAGAATGAGAGCACGTTATGATCAACTACATGGGTAGCAAAGTAATTGTAGAGCCACGACATTTGATGCATTGACGGCAACTAATTTATAAATTAAATAGTCTCTAGTTATATGTTTTAACACTGGTGATCCAATTTAGGGGGGGGGGGGGATTTCTTGTCCCAGGTTGAGCACTGTGTGTGCATGTATATTTATTACAGTGTGCACGGCTTAACACAGTGGGTAAAAATGGGTATTAGGGCAGCACGTTGTGTGAGTATGTATGTTTTGAAATGTGCGCACGAAAGAATGTAGGGGGGGGGGGATAGGTAGTCGGCCAGAAGGATGTGTGTTCATGTATGTTTAATAAGGTGTGCACCATCAAACGCTAGGGAAAAAAATGTGTAGCCGGACAGAACGCTGTGAGTGCATGACTGAATATTAATGTGTGCATGAACTCATTCTAGAGCTTTTTCATTAACATTGCAGATACAAGCTCGTCTTCGTACCCTTCACGGGAGTAGATAACCACAAAAGATGCATTACCTTTGGAGCAGGCCTCATTGCGAGAGAAGATGTGCAATCATACGCGTGGCTACTGAAAAGCTTCAAAACCGCGATGGGACATACTCCAAGATGTTGTATAACGGATCAAGACCCTGCTTTAAAGGTGGCAGTACCAAACATTATCCCAGAAACAAAGCATTGATTCTGCATGTGGCACATAATGTCAAAACTAGGAGACAAGGTGGGAACTGCATTGGCAAACAATAGTGATTTTAAAAAGGCACTCAACAATACAGTATGGGATGAAACAATAAGGGCCCCAGAATTTGAGAGGAGATGGGCAACGGTAATGACAGATTACAACATTGTCGAGCACAGATGGTTCAGTCAACTATACGAGGCGAGGGAAACGTGGATACCCGCTTATTTCCAAGACATATTCATGGGAAGACTACTCAAAACAACATCTCGTTCAGAATCAGAAAATAGTTAATTTGGAAAATTCACTAAACACCACAACAGTCTGGTAGAGTTCCCCATGCAATACAACAGGGCCATAGAAGAACAAAGGCATAACCAGAACAAGTTGAACGCGAGGTGTGAAGGTTCATTCCCTGAAATTAAGACCCCTATGGCCATAGAACGCTAAGCTGCTGTAGTATACACCATAGAAATCTTCTACGAGTTCCAAACAGAGTTATGGGAAGGAAGTTTCAATTGTAAAATCACCAACAAGACCATGGATGGTGGTGCCCAGAAGAACATTGTGCAAGAAACAGGTAAAAAGCTATTTGAGGTAACGTACCAAGAAACAACTCAAATTACCGAATGCAGCTGCAATAAATTCAATAGAGTAGGAATCTTGTGTACGCATGTGTTGGCCGTTTTCAAGGACGAAGATGTACAAGAAATACCGGGGAGGTATATTGTTCCTCGCTGGACGAGAGATGCGGGTGCACAACCAATGTACGATATAGTGTGGAAGGCAACAAGTAATACGCATGGGGGGAAATGAAAGGAGAACCGTTGCCAACAAACTTTGGAATGAATTTTACAATTGCATGGGTTTAGCTAATGGATGGCTAGACCAAATGGAGGCAATGTTGACAACATTGCAACAGCTAAAAGCAACATTACAAAGTGCCAACCAACATTGCAACCCCAGTGCCACTCCCCAATCAGTAATAGAATCAATAGTCAATGCGACTGCACCTAGTGAAATACAAATCAAGACACCCAGTGTAGCAAAGAACAAAGGTAGTGGTAAAAGATTGAAGAGCAACAAAGAAAAAACATGTGAGAAAAAAAAGAAAAAAGTGAGGAAGTGCGTTACCTGTGACAAGCCAGGGCACGACAGCAGAAATTGCGTTGAAAACAAAGAACTCCCATAGAAATAGGCACACATGTAGTTGAATAGAATGAAAGACAAATTTATTTTACCATGCATATTTAGATGTGTGTGCATGACACACACCCATTATTATTACTGTTATTTTTTTATCTCTAAGAAAATTATTACTGTTATTAGAAATCCTAAAATTAGTTTTACAAATATTATTATAACTAGTGGTATTATTGTAAGTAGTAGTATTATTATTAATATGAATCAATAATCACATATGCCTACATGAAATTACTGGAAACCACCATTTTGGAAATTACGCAATGGTATTTAGATATGCATGCATACATATGAACAACTGTGTGCACAGGGTTTTTTATTTTTTCCCCAATTTCTGCAATTCCTTGGTTCTTATTCTTAGTTTCGTAGTAAATGTTTATGCCGTCATAAAATCACAAGATGAAGAGAGAAACAAAATCATTAGATAGGAACCCAAAGATGAAGAGAGAAACAAAAAATTTCACTACTGTGAACACTAACACGTACATACACCAGCTGTTTGTCGTATTTTAATTTGCGCCCACACAGTCCTACCCAAATAAGAATATGTATTATAGTTCCTGTGCACACATAAGAACATGTACATGCACCCGGCACCTGCTACATCTAGAGACAAAACTGAATAGAGTGCCACTTAGTAAGTTAGTTTGGATCACAGTACTAACCAACATTGAATTACAGACATAATTGAGCAGTAGCCAAACATTAAACCAATGCCAAAAACTTAAATTCTATCAAACAACACACACACAGTGGGGCAAACTAACAAATAAAACCAAAAAAATGGAAGCTATTTAAAGATCCCACAAGTCGAGGGTACACCGAGTATAGCTACCACAAAAACAAAAAAAACTGAAGCTTAGAAAACCGAACACATGAAGGACGCCTACGAACAACTCGGGGTAGATGCCGCAAACTGATATGCCCGAGAGATGTTCCTACACTTGTGCAAGTTGAAATCAGAAGTTGCAATCTCCTTGATGTACTGTAACCTCAACTTCTGGAGCATTGAAGTGTCACCTTTGGAAAGGCCACATCTCCAAGTCGACACACCCTGCCCAAAGTAAGTCTCCATGTGGCGCATCAGAAACACCCCACAGTCAACCTTATTCTGGCCATCACGCCACCCCATCTGCATACGCTTCGATTCTACCCGAGCACACATCACAGACCTCACAAGAGACATAGTTTTAAAGAATTCAGACAGCATGTCCATCTATAACACAAACCAACAAAACAAAGGGGAAAACCCACTATAATTGGTAAAAGTGATAAAATACCAATAAAAAACAAGAGAAAAAACACAATAGTTGGTAAAAGTGAAAACATACCAAATCATCAGGACAGTCACCATATTTGAGATTCTTCTTAGACTGTAGGGTGGAATTGTCAATGATCTCATACCGAAATTTCCGAAAATTCATGCACAGAAGGAAGTAATGATCATGCCGTAAAATGGGGAATATAAACTACAAGAAACAAAGAAATCATAACCCCATAAGTAACGGTACACCCATATGAAACACAAAACGTAAATATAACAAATAATAAAACATCAGCAACACACACAGGTTAACACGTGTGCACAACAAAGACTAAACATGTCCACATAAATAAACCGCAGCACAAGATGATAGGAAAACAAGAGCATAACCTACATACCAAGTCAACTTTAGTAATGTCATCGTACGGTGTCATCTCAAAGTCCAACGTCAGTCTCTCCGCAAACCAAGCAATATGTTTGTCCCGATCGTCAGAGGTATCCACGACAGTATTATGCTGCACACACAAAGTAATTGAATTTAAAAAAACAACAAAGCGATTACACAAAACCATAAAATGTAAAGACGTAAAGACTAACCGTGGCGAGTGTGGATACAAAAAAGCGGGAAAGCGCAGCTGAGTCCTTAAACCGCTCTCGTTTATTTAACAGGCAAGCCCACGCATCTACAACAGCAACAGAAACCAACGACCCAGGAACCAACGACAACAAGTCTGCCCACCGCGCAGACCTACCACTAACATCAAACAATATATCCTCCCTAAAACAAATAAGTGACAAAATGCAGACAAATCAACAAACCATAACGACCTAACAAGGAGTGAAATAAATGCCAACGAAACTCACAAGTTCCCATCAGCGGCACCCAACAACCACTTGCAAATTACAGCCTCTTTAGGAGTGTCCATGATAGGTAACACCAGAGTCGGTTCAACTTCTCTCGCATCAACATCCAACCGCGACACCCCGCATGGAAAATCTATTGGCTGTCGAACAACACGCGCAGAAGGTTTCAACGGGGCAGCACAAATAGGACCTTCAGACGGATAAGTAGTGGACTTCCCCACAGGTATAGGTAGCTGCAAAAACATACACAAGAATTGGTCTATGCAAATAAATCCATTTTAAAAATGTAACACAGTGGATTTGCACACAGTGCCCCCCTACAGTGCACACGATGCACTCCTACTATGAACAAGGTGCACTCCTACTGTAGACACGTGTGTGAGATAAACACACGGGTGCACATAACAGTCACGGGTGCACGAATAACAAATCAACGTACAAAACACGAACCAACCCCACCTCGCACGGTGTAGCATAAAGGACATCTCCACGCAGGGGCTCCTCCGAATCCCCAAGGAGAACACCACAAACAGGACCACCCACATTGCAATCTAAAACATTGGATCCTTCACCAACCATAGAAACACCCATGGCATCAGCACCAGTAACATCGTGAGGACCACACTAGGAAACACAAAATGAAACCATCCTCAATGGAACCCATCATG